ATCCAATCATTTGATTGAATTCGATTGAATTTGATGGAAACAGACTATCAGTCGATTGATSATGCCAAGRATTCTGGATCCATCACTATAGCTGTGACATTGACCATATRATATATYGTCAAGCAATTCAACTCTTTCATTATTCAGGATTGTTTACAAAATAATGCTATTACTGTACGTTYCCCCAATGGTTGTACCAGGTTTGGGCACATATTCAACGTCAATTAATAATATTATRATAATAGTTACAAGTCCTACTTACATCGGCAGCAAAGGTGTGAAAGTRTGGGCGAACAGCACTGTACTTGAAMTGGTTATAGAGTTCCTGTTCCCATGCTAAGGWTGGTGACTGGAAAACAGATAATACATGTATTCAAAGCWATTTTTACGAGRTTCTTCGCATCAGAAAAATCGACGACTATTACTTCGAATTCAAAACCAAAACCTCCCAARAGAAAAAAATCCCAAGGTATTTTGATTCCAGGAAAAAATAAAAAATAAAACAATCTCGATATTTACMCGGGATAGATCGTAAATTCGAATAAAGTAAGAACGTTTGCCATTGTCTTTGACAAAACAGGCGACTCCCGTAGCTTTCTTCGACCATCGGCTCCTTGACTCAGGTAAAGCAACCACCAGTTGTACTACTGCAGTGGCCAAGGTCTGATAAAATCACAAAAAATATTTGATTACGATAGAAGAAAGAAAGAGCTGAATCAGAGGAGGAAGCTTAACTTGGTACAAGAAAATTGCTGTCGATTAGAAAAGACAACTTTTCAAGTACAATATCAACTTACCTGGCATCTTTTCCCCAGCATGTTGAAGACGTTTTCATTTTCAGTGTCTGTGATAAGTTTGGACTTATTATTTTCTGTACTACTCATTTTGATGGTTGATAAATCGAATTCCAAACAGATTTCTTGTCGTCGTTCTGGAAGCTTGTTACTTCCTACTGCAAAGCAACCGAGCCATTTGAGACCATGACGTCATCATCGTTTCCCCCTTTTGCCACAGGGATACCGCAAAACGAAGAAAAAAACAAGCGAATAGCAAAGATGTAGGGATTCTTATTAATTTATTTAATATTATCACAAATAGATATCCTTCCAGTTATGCATGCCGAGTTTTAGATCAAACACTTGGTATTAGTACCGGCCACAAGGAGTCGACTTTTTAAACCCCCCCCCTTTCCTCTCCCCCCCCTACAAGTCGCTACCCAGGCTTGAAGAAAACGAAATCATAAATACAAGTTAAAATAGGTTAAAGAAATAAAACCTGAACCTGCACCACAAGTTCAAGGGGAATTGTATCCATTTTGTGAAAATTCACCAACCCTATGTGTATTCAGTCAAAAAAATCAACTAGCTAAATATGAATGATTGGGCTACCTGTGGCACGTGGTACCATTGTCTTGACTGAGGCCAAAAAAGTACTAGTACGTCGTGCTTTCACAATAAATTTTCCGCAGCTCCATCGAATCCGTGCTGGTCGCGTGCACATCACAAAGAATGTTAATATCCAGGACCATAGCTTTGTAGCAAGAGAAAATAATSTAAGAGAAGGAATCCGTGGCATATATATTCGTGCTCAGTGACCATCATACATCGTTTGCTGCTATTTTTAGAATCATCTCTCATGACTTTGCAACCATATCTCTGATACCTGCTGATACTGTATGCGCGTACAGAAAAACAAACGATCAAGAAAAAAAGGAAAAAGAAAAAGAAAAAAGAAAAAAAAAAGATACTAAACATAGCATCAAATATTCTAAAAATAGCATCAAAGAGTGCTCATGATGAGGCGTGGGGATTCCTTCTCTTATATTCGATTCTCTTGTTTGTAGCGATTCCATGCAAACTTCACAGTCATAAATATTATCGACTAATCACTGATCCGTTGCCAATTCGGGATCGTGAATTCTCTGATTTAACTTGATATGACATCCTTAGTCTCCTATTAAGCAACTGTTTTTAGTCTAGTCCTATTCCCCTGTGCTAAAAACGGCTACAAAGAAGACTATAAGGACATCCTTGGCTGCCCGGCGTAGGCAATCGATGAAGTCGATGATCGATGACAATCGATGACCAATCGATGTAAATCGTGACCTTCTATCGATTGTCATCGATCGATTGTCATCGATTGCCCGTGTTTATCGATTGTTATCGTTCGCTAATGGTTTCGATTATTAGCATGTCCATGTGTTTTAGTGCTTTTTTGTACCGGCATAATGCGTGTTCAACTAATATTTTGTACAAAAAAAGTCCGAAAACGATATTAATGTTGTTGAAATTAATGATTAGAAAATAGGATACTCAGAAGGTCTTCATTTCAAACTAGTATTTTGTACAAAAAAAATTGGACAACGATATTAATTTTGAAATTACTAGTAAATAGAATACTCAGAGGGTGTTTATTTTAACATAAAATAAAAACTTATACACAGTTTAAGAAACGGAACCCCGCTTTGAAATATCCTGGATCCGACACTGACACAGGAAATCCTATACAGTAGAGATATTATTTATCAAAAATTATACATGTGTCCGATTTTCCGCTTTCACTACTTTAAAATAAAGAAGGCGAATATAAAAAGTTTTTAAAACATATTTCCTTATATAAAACAACAGCTGTTTGAATGTAAAGGATAATCAAGATGCCCATGCATTTAATTTTTAATTTTTCATGAGTTCTTTCAATTTGTCCAACTTTTCTGTCAGTAGTTTCTTGTATTCTTCTACATCTCTATGCAGCCCTTTATCCTCGTAGTATTTTATGGCAAACTTGCATCTTGTTGCTGCCACCATGTTRCCAAAGAGCTGTCGAGCAAGTGCGCTGTCTTGTCCCAGTTGCATGGTACTTATATGGTCACGATTTGTATTCAGCATGACCATCTCTAAAACTTTGCACGTCTGGTTTTCAATAACTTCACCATCGTAAAAATCGAGAACCTGAAAAAATGGCCCTCGAAGTATCACTTCCTTCTCGTGAGACATTAGCGACAGATCTTTGATATCTACTGCGCATATCGTGCTTACGACGCTTGTGGGAAATCGCCTCCTGTAGTGCTCCAAATATTCTTTCTCCAGCTCTATCACGTGGATTTTCATCAGTAGTGGCTTGTGATCAACACGTCCTCGCATTATTCTCTTGATAAAGCTGTTTGCTATTTTCAAACTAGTACTGGTAGACATGAGACAGAGTGGAATCGCGATGTATCGTCCGGAAATTTCTTTATTTCGCAAAGCTTTAAAGGCTCCATAGTCTGACTCCTTTAGAGCCATGCCTCGGTACACGACTCCCGTGAAATTATTGAATCTGTCATGACTTAAACAGTAGTTAAACAGATCGATATTGATGAGTTCGATCACAAACACTGCAATTATGATCAGTTCCTGTTGAGTCGTGGAAGCGTCATCCCTGAATACACGATTAACGAGAGAAAATATTTCGTTATATCCCTTCACAGAAGTGTATAATCGTATTGCCTTGAATCCACTGTCAACATCCTCCCTGGATTTGGCCCAATCTTTTTTTGACTTCAGAACCTCTTCCATCATTACCTTTGCCTCTGTGTCTTCCACATTTTGGGTGATATAGTTCTGAACAGCATTTGTGAATTCGTCGTAGTGATTCCAATATTCTCGGATGTATATAATCCCCTCTCTGATTTTGTTCATTCGTTCACTGAGCGAGTCTCCGTCGAAAAATGGTTTTATCTGGTTGAAATTGGCACTCTTTGAAAATTCATTTTCATTTTGGATGTAGCGCTCAGTTCGTTCATGAGCTAAAATTTCCATTGCTTGCTGGATGATCTGTTACCGTCCTCTGTTATCCTGTTTACCAAGAGTCTCGATTACCCAGACTATGCCACAGGGAACCCGGCTATATTTTTTTGCTTTTTTTTTAGAAATGTAGAAAAGTAACTTTGCTCTTTGTGGGTTTTCTGTGTTGTAATCAGTTTCCTATTACATAAGCTGTAATCAGATCTGCGCTGTAATCAGATAGGCGCTGTAAACTGATAGCCGATTAAATTCAAATCAACTAGACGCCCTAAAGGCGTATACTCGGGCTACCTGTGTATAATAGAATGTAGAACTTTAAAGGGAAAACAGAGAGCACTAGTTAATGGAAATGGTACTGGAATTGAGAATTAGATTGCAT